TATATATATATATATATATATAACACCTGTATGCGGTTATATTGTATGATGTCAAACTTTTTCAGTCATGCCGATAAAGAACGTTGATAATTCTCAGCATAAAATGTCATTTATTTTTGATGCAAGCAGGAAGAGAATGATGAATAAAGAATGTGTGAAGATGAAATATGTTTTTAATGGGGACACATTATATGCACTGTTATATTGTATGCTGTAGAGCATTATCACAGAACATTTCTCTTTATATCAAAATCTTCAATGTGTTGTTACGGCTTTATGCAGAAAGGTGTATGATAAGTACAGTATGATGTGTTGAATGTATCAACTGCAGTATCTGTTAGACCATCTCATGTTTGAAAATATAACCATTTAATTTCATCATGCACATACAAAACATAAAATGCGCCCTCAGAAAATCATGTGATCACCTATTTGAAGCAGCTCCACTGAAGAACATTCGATTTTGCAGATTCTCTAGTTAGGTCTCTGGACACGAGTTTCAGGATTGTACAACAACCGCATAAAAGCACTTGTTCACCTGATTAAACATGACCAAAACTATCAAAAAATAGACATATAGGAGACGTATCTACAATTCTAAACGCATATTGATTGCATAACTGTGCAATTCCAGTACGTGACCTAATGCCATATATTCACCCTCTTTATCGGTCAGCAGTCAATTATAAAAATTCATAGCGCATCGTCTCTTCAAGCGATTCGTAAGCTCTTCTTCGACTACTTCCATAGAATTTTTCGGCTACTCTATCCAGGGAGATTTTGAGTCATAAGAAAAGTGGCGCACTGCTCCACACTAATGCATAGTTCAAAAGAAACATTCTTCGACAGTTTACAGGTTCTTGGCCGGTTACGAGCTCGAGTTTTCAGAAGCAGCAGTTCAAAAGTTGCATTTACGTTTATTTCCAAGATTGAATGCAAGCTTTGTTAAAAAAATGTATGCTGACGTGAACATCGTTACATATGTTTTTTTTAACAGAAACATATGACCATAAATGAGCAATGGCACGATTTGATATAGTTATTTTCAAGCTCGATCCATACTCAGCTTTGCGCAGTAACTTCATAATTTATTGAACCTGCAAAAATATGATCTTTTCATCTATTGAAAAAGCGTATATGCTGCCGTTGAATAATTCTTTTATTCAACGGTTATAGTTATAGACAGAATTATAGCTAATTTCCAATGATAGGTGGTTGGGTGATTCCATTGAGCCGCTTATCTCGATTGCTCTGTTGAGTGATCACTATTAAACTACAATTTCATGTCCAAACCAACAATACGCTGAAATTCTGTCAGGAATTGTTGAATATCATGAGAACAGTGAACCTCATGACGCGCTGATTAACATAGCTTTACGACGGTTCGTCCAAAATATTCATCCTTTGTTTGAAAGCATAAAAAGAACAACGCACAACACTGTTTTACAGTAATGTGTTGCGGAGAAGGAAAAAATGGGGAATAGGGAATGGAATCTGTTATATTTTGAATTACGTCAAATCTAAAATCAACCGATCTGGTTGAATGAGGAGTACGTGATCTAGTGATTTCATAAATTCAGGTGTTAGTCTCGGTAAGCACACCATTCTAGTTTTCTTTTTATATGAATTTTTGCATCCAATCTTGTCTCATGCCACATTCACGTCAAATAATTCGGTTTTTCCAACTGTTAACCGACAGACTGCATCGTCTCCACGGAGGAAGCTTTTTTTTCTCAGTTTTTGTACCCCGATTTGCATTAATTCTAAGGTCAATTGGATGAAATTATACTTCATTTCTGGCTAACGTTCTAGCAGGTATGATTCCTACGGAAACTGCATCACAAAATAATGAACACTGATGTCGGAATTGAATGTTTTATAAGCGAAAGAATCCGGGTTGCTGCACCAGTTTGTTTTCTATCATCAACACGGTTTTTTTATCCACCACCCTTTCAATCGGTCACAATATTTGTATTCTCTGGGAGCTATAGCTTTGAACAAAACCTCATGGAGCAAATATCGATCCCTTGAAACCTCTTAATCTCGACACCAAGTCATCACTACGTCAATCCATGCTTGTGTTGTTTTCCTATAAACGGCCTACCAAATACATTAAAACATCCTGGTTGCATCAACCTTGTAACATACTTGAAATGAACCTCCTAAAACAAAGCATTATTTCAAGGATATATGATTTCGTACGATTTGATCGTGGCAATGTTTTTTGACCTTTAAATCTGAGCACTTCAGTGCATTCTAGTGCACTGAGCATTCTAGTGACCATTTTAGCGAATGCTCTACGCAGCAGATCGGAAATGTCATAGAAACACAGAAGACAAAATAGAATTCATGCGAAAAAGGCAATAATTTAACATTTATCTTCGGTATTATCGTTTTTGTTATTGTTTGATGTGTAATGAAGCAAAACAAAATCAGATATTTTCATTTTAAATAATTTGTTTTATGAAAACAATGTGAATTATTGAATTAAGACATTACTGAAGGTGAATAAAATCTTTTAGCACTAATGTTAGCTCAGTTTCATCATTAACCAAAGGCATAAATGAATAGCGTTTCAAAATGACTGAAATGTCGCACAAAATCGCTTCGTTCGAAGAAAATTCCATTCGACGAAACTGAAAGCGTCTTAAATGTCGTTTTATTTTTGGGAATGATCATGATTCATCGAGTTACAGTAATGATGAATACAGCAAGAGAAATAAAATCGGGATGTGTCGATCTGTTAGAACATTCATGACGTTGTCGTTCCTTCAGTTGCGTGTTTACTGAATTCACGTTCAGTTTTGAAGTTTTAGTGACTGATAAAATATCTTCATTCAACTCTTATCGTTGGTAGTTTGAAAGTACTCTCCCACAAAAAATTCAACTCAATTTGAACGTAGAAGTAACATTTAAAGTTTACAGCATGCTAGCTAACGACCTCGGCTTCTCTTGGTTGGCCAAATGCTGAGCAGTTTTTCAGTAATTCATAGACCTGTTCTGATGAATGTGACATATCCACTAACCAAAAACTGCAATCTTTCATATAATTTTTTGATCACTTGAGAAATCTTTAACCAGTGTGTGATTTAAGATATTTGCAAGAAATACCGAATAGACAGGGAAAAAGTTCATAAAAGCCTTCAGCTCCCATTTTTAAAAAATAACCTAAAGCGTTCGACTGCTTGACGTATGCTATTTAACGATTATATGAGACTAATTTGAATGGTCTCAAAACACTTTTTGCGACCAAAAATTCAATTTTGATATTTAGTGATAATAATCTACAAGACTGCTATATCACCTCTGATCAATTCCGTAGCCGTTGATTTCAGTTAAGCGAAACTTGAATTTGAGCAGCTGTCAATCGAAGACTGTATCCAAATGATGAATGAGTTCATTTGGAAAACCTGCGCACTCAGCGCCATCTTTTTTCTGTGTTCGTCGCAACAGATACAAAACGACTGGAGAGATCAGGTAATTATGTCCTACACGAATGTGGTAGAAATTTACATTTTGAGAAACGAATTTAAGAGTGTGCTTGAGAAATTTTATCACAATGACAATGAGACATAGCTCGAAGATATTTTGAAAATAGTGTTGGATGACAATCCAGCTGAAATTTTCCAAAACATAAGCAAACGATGTAGTTTAGTCAACATTTTGAAAGTAACTAAAATTCAAACACACTGATGCATATATAGTAATGGAAGCAAACATTCAAATGATACTTACGATTCTCAAGATAACAGAATACCGATAATGAGGTTTATATACACAACGGTTTATTCATCAATTTCACAGTTTTCGTTACCCAACGTTGATGTGACATGAGAGAAGTGCTAAATGAAACTCTCGCATGCATTTCAGGATCTAAGGACATTATCATCATTTCAAAAGATTGATTATATTGATGTAGAGAAAGTACGACAAAAAAGTTGGTTGCATTCATATTCAGAACGACGACAATCTCACTACCTGATATTGAAATGAATTGAATTTAGCTCCACTTTACTGTACTAAAAAACTTTTTCGAATATCTGATATCATTAAATTTTATAGCTCATTGCATGCAGCATTCTTCGCTTGTTAGCTGATAGTTCAGATGTGAAGTTAGCTTTCTGTATCTGTAACATTCGAAGGGTTTTCACCCAAAAAAAAAAACAAGGATGAGGGGAGGAATTTCAGAAAGTCTTTTCTCTAAACTCTGTTTACCTAATTGAAATAGATCTCATAGTGGAGGTTTTCGGACTCTCATAGTGGAGGAATTTTCATCACAAACTCAATTTGGTATGCTACTACCTAATTTTCGTTCCCCTTTAAAAAACACTGACTGCTTGTTACGCCATTAACTTCATCGAATTCAAGCGCGTCGCAATTAAATTCGGTATTTTTGCGAATAATCTTACACACTCGTTGATACTATCAGCGAGAAAGGTACGAATGCACCGCTGGAATGATTGTATGGGATCAGTCCAACTCCAGGATACGTCGTGGTGATGCCATCTGAAAAAATTGTTCGTGTAAGACTCGAGCAATTGTGCACAAATGCTGCAAGGATTCAGTTCGGCGACTGTAACAATAATTTTTTAACGTGTTATACAAATCGCTCATTTTCAATTGATCATTGTCCGTTTGGTGAGGTAATTTGTTGCATTTAACTGATAAATGTTGACGATAAGATGATCACTGTTTTTATCCATAGGTGCTCACATGACATTAGTCAATAGAATTTTTTTTCGACTAGCACATTCTTTCGAAATAAACAAATTTGAAAATTAGTCATAGAGAAAAATGCATTCATCCAACAATCATTCGGATAACGAAGGGATTAAAATTAGGTACAGAGAAAAACAACTGTGCATTTATAATCTCTATAGGTGCTTAACAAGAACAAATGTCAACAACCTCCACGCCAATGCACCGATGATACGCTATTGGAAATAAATGCAAGAACAATGGCAATACTAAACGTATGGACAATTCATATCATTTTTCAACCATTCATTCATTTTAAACGGTGAATCAATTGCTGCAATGGTTGTTTTCTTTGTTCTAGTTGCTTGCAAAATGACTCATTCCTGAACTAATGAGTATAGGTATCACGAGGCATTTCTAAAGAACAAAATGAATTTATAGGATGTGAAGTTTTGTTCGCGGGGAGAAGGAGTCTATACTTTCAAAGAGAGTAAGTACTCTCGACAAGCAGTTGTCTGTAAGAATCATCATGAAGGAATACTTCTAATGTGCACAAAAGGCTTGTGATTCAATTGTTTTTAACATATATTTAGATTTTAGTGAAATTTCATACATTTATATAATAGATGTAATTTATTTCGTTAGATATTCCCACAAACTTTTTTCTACGTCATAGCATTCAAAGTTATCCACTTTGCGAGCAGTCGTTCGATTCTAATTGATTGCTATCTGTCAGAGAAGTGGCCAATAAAACAACTCCAATTAAGGTCATTTCATCTCGGTAGACGGAACACATTGCCTGTTGGCGGCTGGTAACAATGTTCCGTCAAATGTGCATTATGGAAATGCGATACCCTTCACGACATTCCTTCTTCAAGAATTCTGTGCGCGCAACTCAACTAAAAAATATCGTTTAGCACCAGCTGTACAAATGAATGTACCATGCCGATCCTGGTTAGCATAAACTCATCTTACATTGTTTGAGGAGCAACGCCCGAAGCGGATAGATCCGTAATGTGAAGCTGTTGTGTTTGTTCATGAATGTTCAGTTAGTAGGATACTGATTGGTCTTCCGGAAAACATCACACTAAAATACCAACAAATACACATCAGCAGCACGTTGCGTGTTTACTTCCATCAGTGGCGTATCTAATAGGGAAATTGCGCAAATCAATCCCTTTCTCTGAAATTTTGAAGACAAACACTGATGAATTCTTGCGCAGGAGTTCTAAAGCTTTCGACTTCTATGTTCAATGGACTGCAAGAAACTGCACGTCGCCAGCTGTGAATTTTTTGATTACTATTAAGAAAAAAACTTTTTCGCTCATATCACTGTGTGTCACAGCAACAATTGTTTCATCTCACAACATTTAGTCCCCAATCTTCAGGTATGTAGATTGTCAAAAATCTGTTCAGCAAATCGTAAATTGTGAACGAGGTGCTTTATATGACAACACAAGACAACGTTGCATTAGTGACGCACTTTCAGAGAGCACGTGCTCGGCAAGCACAGTTCAACCATCGTGCAAGTATTATTATTTGATACTTACTGTGAGCAACTCTTGCAGACACCTTATTAATTTTTGCTTCACGATAAAATTTTAATGATCAGATGAATTTATTGGAAATTCATTTCGATTGTTTTGGAAAACTTAATGCATAATGATAGTTTGTTAATAAAGGCATTCCCTAGCTATCATTACTGAATTATTATAGTGGACGTCATTGGCAAACGTTCTCGCTGGAACGCTGTTCAAGAAGATTTTTCTACTGTGAAGGAGGGATTGCTCGAGAGTATGTCTGTGCTGAAGGCTATAAATATTACCAAGGGCAATGCATCACCGAAACAATTGTACCTGAATGCTCTTCATGTGTTAACGCTCAACCGTATCGTTTATTCAACGTTCCTTGTAACGAGGTACGTTTGCCTAACTTACTGACAAACACACACGTACGTCACTGGTCACCTCCAAAATATATCTTTCAACCGCATTCGTGCATTTCTCCACTGCTACACATATCCTAATTCCTCGAAACTTCTTTAGTCCAGGGATGTTATGCTTTCACCAGTTGCGCTATCAAAGGGTCTCTAGATATGTATGATTTAAAATTTATAGTGGAAAATCAAGTGAAAAAGATTTAAACGCTTTATTGGTTGAGAATTTTTGGTGTATTCTGAATCATCCAGTGTTCCTCAACTTAGCCAATGTTGTTTTGGAGAAGACATTAATGACAACCGTTTCAGCACAGACACCTTTTCACACCTTAATTTATTGCAACAGTTTTATTCAAGCATGTGAAAACATCCTCAAAAGCAATATCGATTGGTTGATCGATAAGAGTTACTGTACTTGTTGTTAATATTCGACAATAATGCAACGAATCGGGGCGTCTACCAACAATACTTGATAAATGCTAAATTTGACTTATGTCCTCTAAAACAATCACTTTTTGCAGTATTTATCGTGTGAGGATGGACACTGGCAGAGAAGGTACTGTTCCGATAGCGAAGTTTTCTCGAATACATATCACAGATGCATTACTGGCACTAGCTGTGAACAGGCTATGGTCAGGCATCGTTCATTAATGTGACCAATTTACTTTTCTTGGCACAACTTGAGTGCTTGCTGATTGTTTGCAACATTATATTACGTAAGAAAGTGATTGTTGAAGTATATTTGAAAATCAGAAGACATTTTTTTGTGTAATCGAAATAAATACTGAATTTAGAACTATTGAATTATTGAAACAAAAAACATAATATTAAATTTAGGAGTGTACATTGGGTACGTCTTACCGCATCAGCTGCAGTGAATATATGCAGTGTCAAGCGAATGGACAATTTGTTCATGGAACATGCCCGCCACTCTATGCATGGGACATTGACAATGCACGATGTGTACCTGACGTGAACTGTGTCACTTATATGGTGCAAAATTCTTTCTTTATTTTTTCTAGTGGATCTTTCAAAATTTCCACTGATTTCTGCTGACTGAATTTCGGAGTAAAGCTAGTTTCTCTATCATTGAGTCGGAAAAAATCGGAGTTGATATTTGCATTGGAAACTATCTTCGTTCGAACTGGAACAGTTTTTCTTTGTGATGTTCAACAATCTGACAATTTTAATTTTTGTCATCAAAAATGAATGTATTTCTTGTGTTCAATAAAAGGGACGTGAATGTAATGACGGTGCAATAATCGAAACTAGCGACTGCATCACTTTTTTCTATTGCTCCCATCGAAGATGGACATCTCAAAGCTGTGCGACTTCAACGGTTGACAGTAGTAAGTTCATTTATGAATTAGACGTATTTTAGTGCATTTTCCAATGACGCTGTTCACTGCACTTCTTACATGCGATATAATCTATTAATGTGATTAGGTAAGACATGAACCTTAATAATTTTTTAAACTGATAGTAGATGAAATTTAGGAGTGATATCTGCGGCCTGCGCACAATGTACATCGCAAACAATCAGTCAAGCCGTTCCGTCATATTCAAGAGAATGTATCGAAGGAACGAGTGTGCTTGCTCAGTGGAGTTGTACCGTTTATGCGAAATGTGTATACGGTAAATGGCAGTGGCAACAATGCGAAGCACCATTGAAGTGGAGTTATAGGCACAACGAATGCTCACTCGAATCTGAGTGTACATTGCCTGACTATAGACCTGCTAAATGCATACATAATACCGTACAGTCTCTCCATTCATTCCGATTTAATATACTGAATACATCACTTGGGGAATGTGCCGATAAGGGGATGAGAACCGATCATTCATTTGGGGTTTAACTGTAGCAATTTTTGTCTGACATTTTATCATTAGGGGACCTTGTAAAGAGGCGGGTAGCGTCTGAGTTTTTGCAAGTCTATTCACTTGATTATGCTGAAGGAATTGAAGCACGGAGACATTCAATCATCTGCTCATTGTTGCTATTTGCTCTCCCGATCAAATGACTTCATTAGATGAAGAACTTGAATTTTGAATCTAAACATGATTTATCTGAAAGATAGTCCATGAAAGTGCATTATGGAGGAAATTTTCTATGTAATGAATCGATTTCCTCAATTTCATTCGAACTCATTGTCAGTACTATGAAATCATTTGTCATTTTTTACTTGTAGCGCATTGCTTATTTCAATTTGAATGCATGTGAGCGATACTTCGAATGCTTTGACGGAAGTTGGAGACTTTTCACGTGTCCGAGTGGTGAAGTTTTTGGTGAGAATGTTTCCATTTGTTCTTCCAGTGATATGTATGTAAGCAAGCCCTACTAAATACTTTTACTGTTCGCTTGCTTCTGATAAAAGATATTAATTCAGTTTAAGTTTTTTTCTGATCCTATTCATGGTTGTCAATGAGCACTATAAGCTTTGTTGACTTGCACATTGATTTCGTTTAGATATGTCAACAACCCGGTGCGTATCGTTCAATGGTGATTGTTCCCAGTGGTTAAGTGGTGCTTCTGTTCAACCACGTCACAATTCGTTTAACAAATTGAACTGGTACCCAGATGCTCCAAATGTGAACGAGAAGGTATGTTTCTTGTGTGATGTACGCATGAACCTTCACATAAGATGATTACTTGTTACGTTGTCTATGCTAATTTCAGGTAAACTTTGATGCAAACTGTTGCAGATGTCTTCTGGGTGTGTTTTGGGTTCAACCTACCGAGATGACTACGATTGCAGTCGTTACTATGCGTGCTCAAGTGCTGGATATTTGTCTTATCGATGTGCACACGGCACCACTTTCAACGCTCAAAAAGGCATCTGTGATGGAACGTGAGTAAAATTAGCATATTCATTTTTAAGATGTCTCGTTCTGACATTTGGGTGGTAAAATGGATGATTCATTTTTATGCACAATTGTTAGTAATTCGAACGAATAAATTAAAAGATGATGTGGTGAAATATTTCTTCAGATACTTTTTTGAATAAATTTAATGATCACGCTTCGATGCTGATTCATGAGGCAATCAACACTTTTAGGAAGCAGTGAAATGATTTATAACCTTAAATTATCATTGCATCATCATGTCTATATAGTTCGCAGTCATGTATTTCCGAGTGGCCGCATTTTCGAATTTTCAGCCCATTTAATTGATTGGTGTATTAGAATCATGACTGCACAGATGTTCCTATATGATGTTCTTATCTAAACCATTTCTTAAAAATCACCAAACAAATGTGAAAGATATATGTTGAATTTTTTAAAGTTTAAATCAAGTTTGAATCAAATAGAAAAGAGTTTGAATCAAATAGAAAAATGGATATTTTAGAAATGCTTGCGATTTGTCGCGTTGTATTGATGGCTCAACCAGAAGTTTACGGAAATGCGGTTTCTATAAAATTTGTGTGCAAGGAATGTGGATAGAAAGAGTGTGCGATAATGGGATGCAATTCATTAATGGCCAATGTCAAGGATATTGCAGCAGTTCTGGTATCATTTATTTGTATTATTAATTTATGCTAAATTTGCGAAGTATACTTCATTTGCATTGTCAAAATACGTTTTTCATGAAAGAAAATCGTATTTCCACAGTTGATCCGGCCTTATGCTGCAGATATATCGAAGTTTCATGCTCATTTAAAATGCTATCTTCAATGAGTTGATTTTACGATGCATATCACCTATCTTCATCTTATCAAGAATATGCAGTTAGTCAATTTTTATCGTGTGAAATTCCGTAATCTTTTTTTTTTTTGAATGGACAGAATACGATGGAACATATTCGTATTGCAATGAAGGAGAAGCGATTGCTGATGATCGCGACTGTACGCTTTATTTGGTCTGTTACAAAGGATATCTGGAACAGCGTCAGTGTCAATACGGAACCACTTTCGATCCGAACGTATGCTGAATCAAAATATCATTTTGAAGAGTTCAGATATTATATCAGTGAGCAAGCATGATGGTAATGTTGAGCAGAGAGTTGTGTTCAAGCAAAAAGTCGTTGTGTAAAAATAATGTCATCTTTTCTCGTTTTCTACTTCTAAGTTCAGTACAAAAGTAAGGATTCAGATTGATCATTACGCTGATGATCAGCTTTGTAGGTTGGTTACTGCAGAAACGGTTATTCGTGTCCGAGTGGACGTTCGCCGAATTGTTATGATAGTCAAAAGAAGGCAATTGATGGCGAAACATCAAAATATTTGAGTTGTGTGGAGGGAACATATTATCAACGAATGTGTCCAGCGGGTCAGATCTTCAGATCGGATATCAATGCATGCGATGTTGGCCCTGTTGTCGACTCCACTAATCACCAGTCTAACATTGTTAATGAAGCATGCGAGGTTCATGATATTTCATTTAAAATATTTGCAGAAATTTTTGTTAATGCAACTTTAACAGATACGCAGTGAGGCAGATAGATATGTTCAACGAATGTACTCGTGAAATATTGATCATATTAATGATCGCTTCGGATGATGACCAGTTCAAATAGTTTCGAACAATGCTGAGTTCCAAGCCAACAACTTTTTAAACTTCGAATTGGAAGAACTTCAACACAATTTCACAAAAAGTGATGCAGAATACCTCGAGTGATTTTGAAAGAATGGCCTCAGTGGTTGTTTCGAAGGCAACCGTTGGGGACAGCTCTTCTATTTTCATGTGAATTTTGCAGGAAAGTGGTGGTGCTCTTGGTTATCGCGCAGATCCTAGCAATTGCAAAAAGTTTTATCAGTGTGCTCAAGGAAGATGGGTTTCAAAAGATTGTCCACCTGGCCTCGTTTGGAACTCGAATGCCGTTGTATGTGATTGGCCACGAAACGTTCCCGAATGCAATTTCATGTAGTTTTCACTTCGAATAGCTTCCAAAATCATTTAACGCTACCAACCAGCAATGCGAAAGAAATTCTTTAGAGACTGGTTTTTTCTCTGTACAATTCAAAACTAATTGAGTCCGGCAACAATAAGAAGTGTGGTAATGGCTGTTGTTCTTGTTTGTTTAATATATTCTATTCAGCAACTGTTGAGTTAATCGACTGATCCGCTTACGAAGAGGTATTTTATTCATTTAAGAAGTCTCAACAATTTAAAATATAAATGTTCACGAAAGAGATTTTCGGAAAACATTCATTCGTCAACCGTTTTGAGATATGAGTTTGGAAGATTGAATTGTTTCTGAACGAGCAGTTCCACCTAGCAACTAATAGTAACATTTTTTGAGAAGTTTGTTTGATTCAATCAATGTGATCGTGGAATCAACAATGAAAATTCCTAGTTGCGATTTATTTGTATTCATCAACACTGTTTTATGGCAATTATATGAAGTAATCAAGGTTTGACGAGAACACTACCGAAGTGACGAATTCAAGATATGAATGCGTTTTGAAGAAAAACTGAGGATGAAAGTAGTTCAAAACAAATTCAATTAAATCATACAACAGAACAGCCTTATCCACAGAATACACGCGATAAAAATGTATATGAACTGTAAACATAACATTAAAGTTCTGAGTTCAGGAGTGTAGCAAATCGAATTAGTTGAGCATGAACTAAAACTGAGTAGTTATCTCATAAGGAGTAGTTCCAATAAATACTACATGAATGTGCACCGTTTCTATTTTCAAATATTCTATCAAATATAAGATAATGAATTTGCAATTCGATCTGCAATCGCTCCGAACACATTGTCACATCAGAATTATTTTCGAGTTAATTTATTAGCGTGTGGTTGTCTAATTTAAGTCGGAAACGAATAAATAGAATCAGAAGCTTTACGAATAAGCCTATAATTTTCATATCTTTTGTAAAAATTTACCAATTCACTTTTGCATCCGTTTAGTAGAAATCTAAAGAAGTAACCCTGAAGCAATTGTTGTAAGCGGCTCGATTTTTAACTTCTAACGATAGAAGCGAAATGCTCGGCTAGGTTGTGAACAATTTCACGTTTTAGTCAATCATTGCAATGAGTAAGCTCGATAGATGAGATAACGTCAGATCAAAATAAGCAATTTGGGGATTTATAACAAAAAAATTGTGAAAGGTTGTGTTTTTCAAACGATTCTTAGTGTTTAAATGCTTTATGAATTGCTCTCGAACGCAGCATTGTCCATAGGAATGATGCATCGAGTTAGTTCAACTTTTTCGGTTGTACTCAAAGAGGTTACTTGGTAGGACGCTTTTTCGTATCATAGAGATCTTCTTGGAATCCTTGATCAACGTCATCTAGCTTTGGAGCAGTGCCAGTTAGCGAAGGAGGTGGTAAAGCATTAGGCTTCTCATCCTCAAGGTACATTTTCCAGAGAGCAGCTACGATATCAGTTGTTATGAGATCACCAGCATTTGTGGCTATTATCCGCAGTAAAAATACTCCGTCACTGCGCATCGCATGACGAACGAATTTATTGACTGCCCTATCTCCTGAAAGCATTATTATGCAGTTCAAAACAAATACTCGTTTGAATGAAGCAGTACAGTTTTATGGAACAATTATAAACCTCGTCCATCGACGAGATCGTAAACTCGCAAATATTGCTCGATGAATGAACGCTTTTGTGCTTCGAACAGACTCATCGCAATCCAATAGCAAAGTGAACCAATCGTCACTATAATGACGATTAAGAGCCACCACCACAAGAATAAATACACCTGAATATGGAGCATGTATTCACCGTACGGCTTTTAATCACCCTATTCAATAGAATTATTAACGCATTAAAAGAGTTTGCAAACAGTTGCGTGTTAAAGTACATCTTCTGAAGCATCTATTCAAACGTCAGTGATCTCAATATAATAAAATCACGAGATGTATACGATTACCTTTTCATTAAACATATTGATCATAAGAACACACTGCACGGTGTGTCTATGTCTATTGCCCAACACACGTACATCAAAATCACACATCGTCACTCTGCAGTAAAAACCAATTTGGATTGCTTAATAAGTTTCCAAATATTGAAAAGCACATAATAGTGAACGAGAAATTTGTTGCGTTCAGTTGTTTGATTACTATACTCGCTTTACAAATATAATTTAGTTTGTGAAGCTAAGTGGAGTTAACTTCATATTAGCACTGTTTCTTGAGCGAGAAGGAATTTTTGGTTCCCTCAACATCCATCAAAACATCGAAATAATCTGCTGAACATTCTTATGCAACCCAATCATAAATTGTCTTTCTTGATTACATTTATTTTTTTTGATCAACATTCAACTGAAAACACGCAAGAACATTGCTAAGTTCTCAAGGACGCAATTCAGAATACAACTGGCAGCTTTGTTGCAGCTCGCTTCTCAGTTTTTACAGCATTTCGCTGATCTGTCCGAAATCAATTTCAAACATATCCGAAAGTGGCAGAGGAATGTTGAATCAGCGAGAGCATTTAGATCATAATGAGACTATTATCTATTTTTGTAATCATCTAAAATAAAAACTCACCTTGGAAAGTGACCAGATTCTTGCCATTCACGTCCATTTGCTAAATCTCTGAGAATTTCGAATCCCCAAAATGTATAATTTGTACCAAGAAAGCGGTTCAGCAAAACAAACTGCGTAATCGCTTGCATAAGGTAAATGACTTTGACGAATAAATACAAGAATGTGAGATATGTACCCTAAAAAGACAATAAACTATAATTACCCGATGAAACTGGATCGATGGACTACTTAGAACTAGTGTTCGTCGGAGAGCAGTTTTCGGGACGGGTAGGATCCCCGCGAGGAGTAAACTAGATCGAAGGAGGGTCCCCGCAAAAAAGTGGAGGAGCGAATTGCGTGGGGGGATCCCGTCGAGGAATGAACGCTCTCCGTCATCCCCAACGCGGAGTGAAAGTGAACGAGGGGATCCCCGAGAAAAAGTCTGGTAGCGGATCGCCCGGGGGTCCCAGCGGGGAGAAAATTGGACAGGGGCGTCCCCGCAGAAAAGTCGGGGAACAAATTGCGCGGGGGGGGGAGCGCTTTCCGTTGAACACCACTTGGAAGATTAATACAGTTTTTTACTGTAAAGTTCCAAATATGGCTTGATTAGTGCCACATTGCTTGAATTTTTCACTTTGAAATTTTTTTTGGGGGGAGGGGGGGGGGATTCTTGTGGAACAGCAGTTGAGAGTAACCTTCTGAAGCAGAGATGATATCACACCGTTGCGATCTAATTTCTGCTGAGTTCGTAATGAATCATAGAGATGTGTTGCAACAACAGTCACAGATTCGTTTCTCTTTGTCGTTTGCATATTGCTTACATCTTGTGCCATCATCACAATCCCTCTGACAGCTATTCCTGCAATGATCTGTTGCTAGTCTTTCTTATCGCTAAATATTGAAATTTAACTAATGAATACCAATGCTATACGAGTTAAAGAACACGATCTCCGCATGGTGATTACAGCCCTTACAACAATTTAGTAGTAACATTATGAATATTTCACAAAAGCTCTCGTATTGTCAAATGTTTTGCATTCTTCAAGGTTATGCGTCGTAATAATTTGTTTTTGCTTTGCAATACAGTGAGGTTTACCTCCGATGAACAGAATGAATTAATGAAAACCTGATTGCCAGTTCAGCAAACGCCACATGAGAGAAGGTAAGTAAAAAAGAATTCCTTGCAGTCCGAGGATAAACGGCACCCACTGATAATAGCCTGAAAGTTATTTGCTTCATGGGGCAATAAGTTTGCATCCAACAGTGATGGTAATCAACCGAAGTTCAGTCGGTAAATCCAGTCAAATTTGGTCGGATTCCGAACGAAGAATTTTGAGTTTCGGTCGGAATGTCGAATTTCAGAATCTCAAAAAGGCGCTTTGCATTCCGAGCAAACCTAAATTTCGTTCCGTTGCCATCGCTAAAGTGCAACTGTTCATTTGTGTTGCATGGATGCACCGCAGAATCGTGCATTTTTTCGCTCTCAGCAAAGCGTTATTTTTTCTTTTGCTACACGTAATGTTTCTGAAAAACTGCGAATATTTTTCATCATACGAATAGGTATGTGACCATCTGAAGAAATGGGCGTAGCCGGGGTGACGGGAAGGGAGCGCAGGAGACGAGCACCTTCTTCTCCATTCGCTGTCCCTCTCTGAGGGGTTGAAGAAATGGGAAGGAGAAGAGAAGATGAGAAGGCAATAGGAGAGGGAAGGCAAAAGGAAAACAGGAGAAAGGGGATAAAAGGACGAAGGAAAGTTACCAGGAAGATGAAATTTCACAATAGTGATGGTAAGGTACAAAAATCCACCTCAAAATACACTTATTCTTCTCATCATGAATGCATTAAAACACACTCCACTAATCTCACAATTGAGCATAACTGAACTTTATTCTTGGTTTCATCCTAAACTACAGCCAGCCTCACTTAAAAGTAAGGAGATCGCTTTTGAAGTTAAAATTAGCCCCGACGTATTTCACCGTGAATCCATTCTGGTTCTTGATAGCAGAGCCTTTTTTGGGACCAGACCATTTTGTCCTCTCCCTCCTTCCCCCCCCCCTCTTCGGGAAAAAATCCTGGATTCGCCAGGCTTTTTTTCCAAAGGCGCTTCGATTTATTTTAGATTGCTGAAGTGGATGAAACTCTCATTTTGATGGATTTTAAAAGTATCGCCAAACTCCGAAAATTTTCGGTCGAATTACTGAATTTCGGAATTCCAAGAAATGGATTTTATCGGATTCCGAACGGAATTTTCAAATTTCGATCAGAATACTGGATTTCGAAATCATAAAAAGTCGCTTCGGTTAGATTTCGAACGTAAATTTTGTTCGGTGACCGTCACGCACTACATAACACTCATCAATTGTCAAATCGTCTAATCATCATGTTCATTCCTACACTCCAGAGATCAGCTCACTCTTCCCAGAACAGTATCAGAAATACACTGTTGACTCACGATCAGTCTGAAATGAGTCGGATGTTTCTATGCAAGAAACGAACTGACTGTATCTTAGGAGAGTTGCCAATTGATTTTTCCTATTATCTTCAACTCTACTCGATAATCCACAAACCGAATTGCAAGTTTCGCTCTTATCTTGTTGCAAAAACAAAATTCTATCCATTCAATGAATCATGAAACTTTGTTGCATCTTGATATGATAAACACTTAGAATAATCTATAACAGAAAGAGTCAAAACGATAAGCTGAAAATGAACGACAGTATAGCCCAAATAACTAAATCTGAACTATTGTATCGCTCGAATAATCATGATAATTCCACAGTAAAGAGGGTAAATCGGTCTTGATGTAAATCACTAACTGCTTCATCGTAATGATTTTATTATCGCAATGAGTATATCATAAAAACTCACCAATTTCCCTACTTTCTCGTTCCTCCAGATCATGAGGAATGTAATGGTTCAATGGAAGAAAATACGTGTTTTGAACGAAGCAATAGTTCTCGCTATACTGTTCCCAGGCTCCTGAAAGTTCAATCAAATTATCAAGCAGTTCTCGTAACCGGTTTCCCACAAATTTCCAACCGCTTCAGTTGATACTCTTCCTGCTCAAAGTGAACGAAAAGTAGCTCCAGTTGAGCCTTCGTTCAGTAGAAAAAGCAATAATCTAACTGCATTAAGAGGAACTAATGAGTCAATAGCAATGACAAGGACAAGCTCGCTCATCGAGCAATTGATGCTGTGTTAATGTTATATGCTGAGGCATAATCTTAAAAGATGTTTCTTTTTTTTGAAGAAATCACTGCAAACGTTCATGGTTTTGAAAACAAAATCTGTTGTATATTCAAATACAAAATTCATTTTAAGCGTGAACAATTGATTGATTGCGTCGCTGATGAAGTGAAATAAAGAAGTGGAATATTAAAGAAGTGCAATGAATTCACTGTCCAGTGAGTCAATTTCAGTTTGCGTGAAAAAGAGCTACATGCGAGATGGATTATTGCTATTATTATTAGGTACTGTGAAGTGAACTAACCAGTAAACTGAGCTGGTATCCAACACTGGATCGGTTGTCCAACATATCTAAGCAAAAACATTCACGTTTTTTTCTTGAATGATACGATTTAACATTGCACCTTTTAATACTATGAACACTTATGTCAACAAACATTCTTCCATTGATAAAATCATTTATCAATTAAAAATTTTCACTTTCAATTTCAAAAACGAATTTGTTCGATCACTCGTCGTATAAATTGAACTTTCATCAAATAGAATAATATGAAGAGCAAAAACAACTTACTGTTTTGCGCTAAGAGTCAATGCAAAAATGACGAGTAACATTGGTGTGTAATAATAATTGAGTCTATCAACGACATCGTCATCGAACTGCGGTTTTAGTCCCTTGAGAAAAGCATCCAAGAAGAACATCGTTAGAATAAGCTTTAAAAAGTGCAATTAGTTCAATGAAACACGTCATCATACAGCTAATCTTGAACGCTTTCGCAGTCATATTAAGAAGCGATCCGAGCAGAATCACTGCAAGTCGTTCCAGATGATCGCAACTGCATATCTGCTTTATCCATCTCTTTCCATTCATTCTTTTATTTTTGCTCGCCATTTGCGATTACCGCATTCAGCGAGCGATAGAATATGTGAAAAGTGGGTTGTGAAAAAGTCCGATAAACTGTAGGTATCAAATCTGATACTTTTTAGTTCTTCTCAGTAGTCAATCAGGGGCATTCGTATCAATTGATCTTCAACAAAACAGATGTCAAATTTGTAATTTTGCACATAACACTGCACAGTAATGTTTAATTGAACATCGTTTCGCGGCAAGCTTTCCTTATCAACCGAATTATTTTTGCGCATTCAAACAACAAGTATCAGTGTGATTTTGATCCGGGCGAAATGACAGCAAAATTGTACTTTTTTCAAGTAACACTTGATGAATTCTAACTTTGCAGTGCAAGTGAACAATAATGAAACAGTAATGTATATCATGAAATACTAAGCATTCTGCTCGAATCGCATTAGTTGGAAAAAATTGCTATTCAACATCGATAAGGTAACCACCGAAATGCTTTGCTACATCGATACGCAAAACTTCAGAACTTCAAAACGAATAAAATACATATGTTTATTCATTATGTGCAATCAAAAAAACCTCTTAGAAAGATAAGATAATATTCGCGTAACTAAAATCGCTAGTCGTTGTTCTTTTACTACGACAATAGCACACGCTACAACAGCAACATTCACTGTACAACGCAATCATCATTTTCAATGTCATTACAAACCGGAATGCATGAGCATTTCCATTCAGTGCATCATTCCTTTTACAATCACTCTCATTGCCATGCCATTAGTACTGTCTCGAAGAAGTTTTCATCTCTGTGCTCTCATCGAAAATTCACGCATTCGTTTGTTTGACTGAGGATAATGCGTCATGAAAATTTGTCATTGTACAATATACGATAGATATACAGTCGTTGAATAATCACTCATTCACAAGTGACGTCCACAAATCAAGTAATAATGTTCAACGCATTACAGTGCTGCCACCTAGTGCATGTTACGACAACTTTTAAAACATACAATAAATCACGATTTACACCTTTCATTTGTCAATATTCGTCATTTCATACGAAAACCGATCATCTTCTTCGTTCACTTGCATCAAGAAACATTAGCTGACTGGTGTTATCGCAGTTGATCACTTATAACTTTATACATTGTTCGAAAACACTTCACTCTTTTTCCAATACGAGCATGAAGTTGCAAGCTCAATTGAGTGTTTAATTTATGTTCTGATCAAAAACAGACAACCCTCAAAGTGGTAGCAAACTGAATGTACAAAAGTGGAAACGCAAAAGTCATCATCAGAATGAGAGTGTTTCTGTTAAGCATATATATGGCTCACAGTGCTAAAGCCATCTAGAAATATGTTTTCCTAAACCTGGAGCACACAATCAACAACACATGAAGACAGCTATGGTAGAACATGAATTATTCACTGCGTTCCATGATATGACTATGAATAAACTTGCATCGTCAATATGCGTGTGAAAGTTTCTCATGAATGATTTATGACACAATAGCTTATCACTGCACACAAGCAGTTGTTTCCCCAAAATTGGTTCCGCTTTCAAAAAACCGTTATTTTGGGAATGTTTGAAAGAGAATCACTGAACTGATCGAATGCATGCACCGTTTTACGAATTGAATTCAAATTGTTGATGATCGTTCGTTCATGTATCTCTCATTCATATGAAGAAGAGTCGGGAAAGTTGCTCAGTTCAATCTGTATGATTCACAACATCTGTACACCAAATGAGTTAATGCTGATTTCATACTTCATATTCGAAATTTTATTCGACTACCGAAAACACGAACTGTAATATGGGTAACAATTGCCGAAACTGTCCTCTCAACGAAAGAAAAACGTTACCATTTTTAGCGCACTCAACACTGTTTCGGATGATTTTTTAATGGTACAACTTGAAATCATCACTGATATCGAATTCTTTGAAATGTTCAATTATCATACACTAGAATTAGAACATCACACTGTTTGCATTTTTTATCAGTTTTTGATCAAAATATCGCATGAGTGTATATTTACAAAATATCACACATGCAATTTTTGAAATAAATTACTGCTTTTATATCGTAGTCAGAATGCTTTACCATTTTTGCACTTTTTACCGAACAATTCGAAGTGTTCATAGGTTTGGTGCTTTGCTTGGATCGAATTTTAATCTTTCCGGTCTTACTCTATCTTACAATTGGAACACTTAAAGTGTACAGTCTTTGGTTTTGTTTTATCGCTTGAATGATTGCCCAACTGCCAGCACTAATCATATTTGATTGATGTTAACACTCATACTAGCACCACTGATCATGCATTCACAATGTGAATGTGAACCGTGTAAGTGGAATGACCAGTAATGGCGTAATTATTCATTTTGTCATATAACAGTGAGCCTACTTTTCAAAACCAAACTTTTAAAATCACAGACTTTCTAGAGTTGAAAAAGTGCTACAATGGTTGTTGTAATGATATTGAAAATTTCATAATAATGACGAACAGCGGGCTAAATTTATGAATGAGTGATAACGATGGAATAAAGTGAAGTTCAACTGCATGTGATTCTAAAAACTTAAGTGAAGATACAATAATGCTATCACCAAAGTGATGTTAAATTTAATGATTTATTTAATCGAATATATTCTGTGAATGAAACGAATATATCAATGAAAAACAAAAGGATCTAACATCTTCCGCAAAATCTGAATCTACCTCATATAGTCAGATTTACATGACGTTTCTCAGATGTACGCTTCTTGAGCTAATTAACAGGCTATAAGCAATCAGATTGACTCTATTATCTTTGAACGAAGGCAATTATTCGAAACAAAAAATAACAGCGCCAATCAATGTTATTCATATATCAAAGCATACTATCTTGCAGTTCACCTTACAATTTACCAACGCCACGCAGAGTCTCCAAAAGAGTACTGGAAAAACATAGCAGAGCGACTGATATTTAGTTATCATGACAAGCATTAAATTCGAAAAGCGCAATGTCTTGTAATCATTTCCAATCAACAGTCGCATCAGAGATAGCTTCACTCAGATTCTAGCAATGGCTCGGAATATGGAGGTGGATTACTATTCGTCGAGATGAACTTATGCCATAATGTTGCGATCAGTTCACAAGTTACAATGTCACCAGAATTCAGCATAATCAATCGTAAGAGGAAAAGGCCATCTGGACGAAGCTTTTCTGTAACGAATCGATCGATGAGAGCACGATGCTCGTCGTTTCTAACTGCTGACGGTTCGATCTGAATCATATGAAAACAATGATACGATACAATTCAATAAAATATTCCTCATAGTCGAATCTATCAAACAAACGAATGTTTCAAAATAACATTCAAGAGTTTCCTAAATTTCTGACGTGAATTCGATTTTGTTACAATTAAAAAAACATGGCCAAAATCAAAAGCAGGCCATTAACTGCAGGAAATATACACAAGTATTTCTGAGGAAGATATGATATTATGTACGCTAGCATGAGATGATTATTTGCTAGTGTTCATTTAATTCGGCAGATCTGCTGAGACAGCAAACAAATGGCCGACCTTTTCAATATAATTATACACCACTTGTCGTCCCGTTGCATTCGACAGGCTCGTGAATGTCCAGTACAAAAAGCTTACGGTACTGAAAGTAGAACAGCAATGAAAGTATCCTTATGACTATTCGTCTCTCCATGAATCGCTTATATTGACCAAATACAATTCAAAAGCAATGATTGTTGTACGCTACATGATCAATTCATGATAAAATTTTAAAAGTGAAATCAGTTTTTAGGCAGCTGAAATCAATCTTTTGAACTGTTGATTTCATTGACATCTGACGATGAAAGCCACAAAAGAATCACCTCATAAATGCAATCACTAGTAACCAAAACCATAGGAAAACGAATATCTTCTCATTGAACATATTGATCATGAGGACGCACTGAACAGTATGCCGATGCAAATTGCCCAGAACTCGTACCTACAACTCAATTTACTATATCTGAATCAACAACTTACTGAATCTCGACTTTATCCGATTCAAAAGGGAATGTTCGAACACTATTTTTAACGGGGCTTTAACATGGTATCTCACAAAGTCATAGTGAAAAGAGGCAATTTTCATCCACATTTTCAAAGTGACGTTAAATCACCGACAGTAATTCCTCCAAAAAGGAACTAACTGATAAAAATCAATTTCATACTACGTAGCGAAACTAAGAAGGGTTTATTCAGAAAGCAGACTTTAAAATCCCAAGAAAGAAAATATGAAAAATTACTGAACGAAGTGAAAGAAAAAGATTTGATTCAGTGTCAAATGTGCGCTTACAGAGAAATCGCATAGTGTAACACGAGGGAAGTTGCCAGTCTCCGGCCATTCATGCCCATGAATGAGATTGTTGAATACTTCACCACCCCACCAAATGCTGTCCACACCAAGCATGCGTTTTATTATCAAAAACTGGAGCAAAGCATTCAATGCATACAAAAACTTAACCGCCTGAAAATCAATTTCTGCATTACAAATCTGTTACATTTATCAGTCCATATTTAGTTTAAAGAAATTGTTCGTTCACTCTTCATAAAGCAATTGATTATTATTCGTGTACATTAATATGCAATCTATAGTCGGAAATGTCTAGCGAATATGAGAACGTTTAATGCTCACAAGGTAGGAGGTAATAAGAGAACGGCCGGATGAAGCGAAACGCTTATGTCCGACGAAACCAGCGTGGATGTTTCTTTCGTAAGAGAGAAAACTGGCGATCTTTTGCATATTTTTTGAACGATCATCAGACGCCATATTCGATTTAATATTACAAGTTTCACAAATCGCTTCAACTTTGATATCTAAATCATTCTTGAACTTACATGACAAACATCTTTTTATTTTATCCTGCATTTTATTTCAGAAATTCACTTCAAAGTAAAACATCAAATGTGTTTAGCTTCACCTGTACTGGCATAAAGAGATCGCCAAATTACAACAGGTAAATAGAAGAGAATCGCCTGAAGTGCCAAAACGAACGGAACCCATTGGTAATATCCTGCAGGAAACTTTCTTGAATTTTTGACGGTAAAATGCGCTTCATAAAAATGGGAAATAGTCACATGAAATATTCTGGTTAGAAGATTCTCAACGATCGTGTCATAATCGCAATTGGTAAATTCAAGAACAATGAACAATCCAATAGATCACTGAGATTTCCTCCTATGATGGATTACCCTATTTGTAATAGGCTGGAAACCAACACTAAATTGTGTTCCAACGAAATTGAAACATTCACCACTTAAGAAATACAAAAGTAAAAGATTGCTTAGGAATTGTGAACTATTGGAAGGCATTACAAAGCAACACCTCTATCAATTCATTGTGGCACGTTTAAGATCTCGTGGAGTGCAAAGTTTAGACTCAGTTGCTTGGATAAATGAGAAACTATTCGAGCTATGGGGTTGTTTTTTTGTGATAGATTGACCGAAAAAAATCTACGTTCCGCAAAATGATCAGTCTTTGATATATTCGATGAGCAGCGCACCAATCAGTCGATCATCACGTTCAGTGATATTTGTAGGGATGGGGATAATGTGCTGAGCGATATCCCAATAATCATTCGGTTTTATTTGTGTAAACGGTAGAAAATATGTGTTTTGGACGTAGCAGTAGTCCAATGCATACTCAATCCACCATCCTAAAAAACAATAAATTTATTGAATAACAGCTCTAAATTCGATATTTAACCTTAACGACGGCAAATTACGACATTTTTTTTGAAGTTTCTTATATTCTTATCACTGTAGCTCATCGCTGAGCACTTGCATCAACAAATAATCTAGATAAAAGATGAAAATAATCACCTTTGTAATAGGCTGGGAACCAACACTGAATTGGTGTTCCAACGAAACTGAAACGTTCACCGATTTATAAATACCAAGAAAAAAAGATTGCTTTGGAAATGTGAAGTATTCGAAGGTGTTACAAATCAATACCTCCAACGATTTTTTGATAATTTATTCATGACTGCAATGAATGTGCAGTGATGGGGACACAATAAAACGGTATCAATGTAGATTATTTTTGATCCGAATCAAGCAGTGAATTAAAATCACCGTCGATACATAAGTTATTTGTGCAATATTACAGCAGCTAGCAGGGTGATAATATTCTTAATAGTGATAAAAACGAACGAAAAAAAAAGATGCCTAACCATACCTCCAACCAGAAATAAATGCTGAAAGAACCACAAGCAATGTGGTTGTATAACAATAATTAATTCGATCCGAAACATCGCCATCTGGAAGTGGTGATACAGCTCTAAGAATATTCCTAACTAAATCCATTTTTGAATAAATCAACCACAACAACTATCAAACGATCAGAGAATCTCTCAGTCGCTATTCTGTTACAATTATTGCAACCTTCCTTACCAGGCAGCGCATTCAATCACATTTAATCATGTTCGAATACCATACAAATTCGTTACAATTCTGTACATACAATCTTTAACATTCACTTTTCTTTTCCATTCTAACATATCAGCATACAACGTTCACCTACACATATCTAAACTCTCTGCTCAGGATCCTACGAGAACTGTCTTTTTGATGTGTTGCCTCGTTTCTCAACTCGAATAATATTCTCTAGAAATACATACAGTCGTCTGCCTAGATGTGATGAACGTACAAATGCATGTAATAATAATGCATACAATAGCCATTAACCATTCATTTCGAGCATTATTCGGATGCATCAACTGAACACCGCATGTATGAAAGAATGTCCTTCAATATAGTAGTATGTTATGAGGAGGTATCACGAGGGGCTGCATACGAGGGAGACTCGTCAAAACATTTCATATACACATTCAATCAACGAGTTTGTCTGCTAGATTCGGTATAGGACCGTATGTATAATTTTTTTTCGAAATGTCTATTGTCAATTCTGTTTATGCAGTCACTGAATAATGTACAGCAGAGATGGGCAGTGGTGTACTACTGTGTTCGAATAGCGGAAAATTGTATTGATAGCGTTCGCTCGGATCTTTGGTTAGTGCTTCAGTGAGCCACTTTGTCACGAAGTTTAGTGCTTCAGCGAAGTACTTCTGCCATCTTCCGCTGCCTGTTCGTCTGCAAGTGAATACATATTCTTTCCAACATTAAGGCATGTATTATACATAGTTGCGCTGTAGCACTACTGGCAAGTACCAAATTCAGACTTCTCGTATTCGTCTTAATGGTTCGAAGTTGAATATTCAATCATACATCCTCAAATACTTGCTATAGGTGCACCACTAGCATTCCGTCTCAGCTCACTAAACTATGTGGATTTGAATAAGTGACGTGACTGTGCAATGATGTTTTGTTCACTTTTGTTCTCGCTAGGAAAGGATATGAACGATTATTATTCGTATAATTATCGTTCATATACTTTAAGAGAATCAAACTCTATGTATCATCGTACAGTGAGAGCGATATCAAGCGGTTGAGTCGTGGGATAGCTGAAGCAATAAGATGGGAATGAGTAGAATTGGGTGGGCGAGGTAATTTCTTCTTTCAATCTCTTTATCTAATCTTACTAGGTACATACCGTGATTTTAACAGGGATACATATCTGATTTCATTTGGTGGAATAGATCAAAGTCTGCATTTTGGAGCTAGGGGTGGGAGTCAGTCTGATGATTACTGGTTTATGAAATTATGTACAGTTTATAAACTGTTGGAGAACATGGAGAGCTTAACGACTTCAGCGAAAACGAAACATATTGAATCTGGATGAAGGCACTCTGGAAAGCTACATGAATGAGAAAATGAAGGGATCCCGGAACGGAATCTTAAGGAACACCTCTGCTGACGTGTTCTGACGATCTAAATGAAGCACCAACATGGACTGATTGAAAACGGTTCGCAAGAATATCTCGGATTTAGTTGGACCGATAACCTTATATGGCACATGTTTGCAATTTTAAGGATAATCTAGGTATGGATATATTATATTGGCGGTACTTAGTGATGGCATCTGAGCGAAATTTCGTGTTGATCGGAATCCGATCGACATGACTTTTCATCATTCCGACAGTCGTAGTTCCGACCGACCCCCCAAACTACTCGCTCAGAATCCGACCGTCGGCCGGATGTCATCACTACTGGTACTTATTTAGAGATGATTATCTGTTGTTGCATGATTAAATGAAAATTTTCACTTGTGTAATGGTGCAATGAGGTTTTTTCACATAGAAACAATTGGTGCAATTGCAAATTTTGAGCGAAGATTCCAAAGTGGTAATAGCGATAGCGAACGGCGAACAACGGACTAGTTTTGTTTAATTAGCGGATCAGCGATAATGTTTCGCTACTTTTTTGGCGATAATAGCCATAGCGCTTTTTTTTCAGCGAAGCAAACATTCTTTGTGAACGAATCAGCGATAGCGGCGCTACTGTTTTCCAATAGCGTGCCCATCACTGATGTATGGCTTCATTATGGTATGTGTAACCGCAGTTATTGTTTTTCATTTCAAACTGATTCTTCCTCTTGGTACATAGATTATTAAATGTCTGATTTTTTTGAATTGCTCGCACGGCACTGGCCATGAATCGAGGACTCTCAGAGCACTGCTCATGGAACTGTAAATTCGTATGAAGCAGAAAAAGAAATGACATTCAAGAATTGATCGTTCTCGTTTAGTAGCTGAATAAAGGTGACACAACATTTTCGAAACGACTTTATTAGCCTCTTAATTCGTTTTTATCTGATCGCATTCGAATGGGTTGAAGGTGGGCAAACATAGAGATAACATTGATTCAACCTAAAAAATTGAACCCCTCAACACAGCAAATGCTCAACATTTGAAAGAATAATTAACCCATTGTCAATGGAAACGAATGGGAAATCTCGTATTGAAGAATGATTAACTTAGTACAAAGAATGGACGCTCAAAATCTTATCAATGATAGAATTGACTAGCTCAACAGAAAACTCAATCATCTAAGCTATATTCAAGCAACTTAACATTATTTATGACAAGTGAGTATGAAGAATCGTTATTCAACGACGTTAATCATGAGTGAATCCAAAATCCTCAATATTACCTGTGATAACACAGAGCAGCATGATTTTTGTCAACCGAAATGTTATTTGTGATCAGCTTATGTCTAGAATCTGTGAAAAATGACTAGTAACATTGTTGTTTTAGTCAGCATAGTGATTCTCTGAAAAATTACATATTTCTGTGGGAGGACTGGCAAATGTGTACATTTTCAAAACGACTTATGCTGCAGAAGTAGGGTTTATTAAGACGATATGATCACTGGATATCATTGATACTTATAAGACATCATCGATCTGCCGAGGATCGCAGTAGATACCATGAATGAGACTGTTCTTCTGCAAACGAATGTTAGTTTTTTTTTAACTAGATACAATCTAGAATATTCAAATTATCTTGAAAATGTCGGCATCAGAAAGTTACAAGATTGGAGATACAACTTGTGTAGACAGGTGGCCGAAGTTAAACAGCAGTAATATTTTAACAGTAGTCCAAAATCTACAGTAGTAATATTTTAATGATATACTAAAGATCAACTCACCATTGTTGAGAGCAATCCAGAATTTCTCAGGCATTTCTGTAGGCTGGCACAGCCCAGAAATGGGATGCTTCTCACTAGTGTTCGTCGAGGAACGGGCTCCCCGTCGAGCACCACGGCGGGGAGCGCTCCCCCCGCCGCACAATTTGCTCCCCGACTTTTTCGCGGGGACCCCCCCGTCCAATTTTCTCCCCGCGGGGACCCCCCGGGCGACCCACTCCCCGACCTTTTCTCGGGGACCTCCCCCGTTCAGTTTCGCTCCCCGACGGGGAGGACAGGGAGCGCGAATATCGCGAACAATCAATTAAAAATGGTGAAAGACCGCTGCAATACTTTCAATATTGTCTTGTTGTTTGTTTTGAAATGTGAATATAAGGTGCACTTGAAAGAAAACTACTTAAAAAAAGAAGAAAAATCTTTAAAAAATGGAAATTTTGTTTTAAAAAATTGAGCTGAAATGCTCTCCGTCCTCCCCGTCGGGGAACACGGGGAACGGTCATTCCCCGACGGGGTCCCCCCCGCGCAATTTGCTCCCCGACTTTTTTGCGGGGACCCCCTCCCCCCGTCCAATTTACTCCCCGCGGGGTCCTTCCCCGTGCGAAAAACTGCTCCCGACGAACACTACTTCTCACTGATAAAATCGATATGCGTTGATATGTGTTTCAGGACTGAAAGAATACCATGATGATGATAGTATCAAAAAAAATCGTGACAGTAATTATAAATGTAGGTATATATGAAGTGTTGCAAACATCTCAAATTAAAACTTTCGAATTAACTCTTGCATGCCGTCACGTTCTTACTCAAGTCTTGGCAGTATCATCATCTGCTTGATTTACTTCGATGCAGCAAAGTTCATAAAAGTTAATTGAGAATGACTTTAGCTATGGAAATTTTGAAAATATGGTGATGCATCAAGATTGGCCGACTACATTTCCCATCAAATTTAAACGGCCACACACGAAGGAATGTTGGAACATACAGCTCTAAAATGAAGCTGACCAATTCGGTTTTCAAGAAAGAATAAAAACTGGATCGGCAATAAAAGTATTGCTTAGGATATCGCTTTATCAATTTAATAGATGTCATGAGATTCTTTAGATGAAGAAACTGTGCCTTGAACAATTTCCTACTATAATGGTGTAATCTCGATTGTATTTAACAGTTTACGTTCGGTTAAAGATATTCCCATCGAACAATCAGCTATATGCATGGGTAATTTCAACTGAGTTACTGAACTGACGTTGTCGTGTAGCTGTTTATCCGAATATGCTAAACTTCATAGTAGACTGAATAAATGCAACGACTCAACAGTGTTCTTGTTGGGTAGGACAACTAGCAAAAAAACAATGAACAGCTGTTGCTTTTAAGCAGACTGTTTCAGCAGAAGTTGATTACACAGCGTTTGTATAAATAACATCGCCTTATATTTGCACTTTCTGCTATCAATTGCTAATGATACAAATTACACTGCTTCATTCACTTTACACTATAATCCAACTGAATTATCAGTTACTGCCATAATTGAAGTCGACGTTTACGTTTCGTTATTTTCCGTTCTAGGTTTTTTCCAATGAATTTACTCATTACTTTCTCGTTAAGTGGATGCTTTTATCTTGTTTTTGGTCCACTAATCAGTTTTATTCATGTAAGTACACGATAATGTTGAACCATCCCTAAGTTTATGTGCAAGTGGCTGCTCATTGCAAAATTGACGTATGTAATCGAATGAGACGCGCAAAGAACATCAAAAAATAGATGGAAATGAGCAAAAGATTATCAGAATTATTATTTATTGACTGTTCATCATTTGGTGTCGCGGAATTTTGACTTTAGTTTCACGCAAAAATTTTGATAGATCAACTTCAATTCAGTAACTAGTTGCCTCGTCACTGTCATCATTTTCATTTCAGTATTCATAATGTTTCTCAAACTGTTTGGGTATGCCGCGCTTGGACTTTTTGCAGCTTTTGCTGTGAGAATAATGTAAGGATTTTTGTGATTCAGCAGTTTTTATGCATATGAATGAGTATTATTCTATTATTTTTGAATAATTACTTCTTTGCAGCAATTTTCGGTGGATACCTGGGCAGAGTTTAATAGAATTTGTATGAGAGCACCGTAACTAGATTAATTTATATTCGATCTGTGCACACTTGAATGCAATTGTGTGCTAACAATAAGTAAAATCAACTGTAGTTTTGTGTGTCTGACACAGATGACTAACGTCTAATGAAAACTACATGACCGTAGTCACTTAATTATGCGAAGAAAAGTTTTTTGAAGCGTTTTCGAGGACAAAAATCTAGTTTCGGTACGAAAGAGTCACCAATTTGAAAACAAAAAAACAAGCGCATCGCTCATAATGCTTTTATTAGGATCATGCTTGACCTCAACAAGCATATCAACAATCATCGACCTGGTCCATGTCGCACCGTGGAAGGCATTCGTAAGCTTTTTTTATCAATTTGGTATGGTGTCAAAATGCTTAGTGTAACTCGAGAATACTCCATTAGAACATCAGTAATATTAACGCATATTGATTATGTTCGTTTAACGACTGATTAATGCAAACATTTAAGACTGATTGTGAGTATCATGATTTTCCGTTCTTTTTTCGATTCATGTGCTCATTATCAAAATATTTGTATGAATTCAGTTTTCAAGATTTCGTAACAATAAATGAACATAGTTTGTAGAGTACGGAGCTGAAGATATCGAATTAGTGAAACGTTTGAATGCGGCATTTGTTACGTCTGGACTTTTTTATATGGCTCAGCGATCATCTGAAGTGAAGGGACAAATATTTTTGTATAGTTTCGTGCAGCCGCATGGTGAATACAAAGCAAAACCTGTCGAAATAGAGAACGACTTCGATAGGGTTTGATTCATACGTTGACAATTTCGTCATTTAGTTCGCCCATTATTCACAGAAGATGTGCAATAATCCAACAATATGCGTGCATATTTGTTTCTAATGCAAAAAGCTTTTGAGAATCATGTGAAATATTCCTTTATATTTACGAACACTAATTTTCTTCATATGAACTTCTACCCGCACAATTGAATGAGTTTTCATTCATAACAGTAAACATAACTCTGTTTATCAACGTAATTTACATTCATGCAATAGATATTCGAATCAAAATTTTCATTTTTCTATATTTTATTCAAGGAAAATTTCCATCCGCACGGTTTATCGTCATTTATTGTTGATGGACAAATATTATTGTACGTTATCAATCACGACAATTCGTTCAAGCATTCAGTAGAGGTATTCGCATACGATGAACAAAAGTCGACTCTCAAACATCTCAGATCGATAAAAGATGACAGCTTCATCAGGTCAGTTAAAAGGCCATATAATTTACTATATGACTGCAGTGACTGATAATAAGAAATAATTCATTGTGCACTGTGATTAATTGAATAATATTGAAATGATGCTTAGCTGTGACCGTCAAAATGTTTTTGTGTACAAATATATTATTTTTCATATTGATAATTCTAACTTTGCAACACTGCTTCAAGCCGAATATTAAAGTGCAATGAAATAAATAAGCCGAGAGATGTGTTTCGTTTAAGACCGAATAATTTGGTTGTTGTTGGTAAAGACAAATTCATACTGACAAATGATGGTAGTGGGCAGTCTTGGTTTTGGGCGATGCTTGAAGGAGTCTTCAGTCTTAATAGTGGAAGTATTATCTTTTACGATGGAGAGGTGTTATCTTTTTTTTACACGAACCATTTCACTCACAACGTAGAAATGAAAATATTTTTTGGAACTGAGATTTGTTCACTTTAGCGAATCGTTTAAAAATACGTTCATGCTTTCAAGGATACTAATGACCTCGCTATGAAATGATGTATTTTCAGAATGATAATTATAGTTGCAACCATCTCATCATTCTTGCATGCTCAATCAGTTCAAATTTCAGACATCTCATACACTCATCAAATCGTCCCTCTCACCGAATGGCATCGGAATAGATCGAACAAAGTCTCATATCATTGTTGCGTCTCCACTCGGAAAAACGATAACAGTTTACAAAATATCTAATGTAAGCAAATGGAGTATCTGAATTCAAACGAACACAATAAAAGATACAGTTTACAAAAATCGAGCGACCTGTTATGCTTGAATCTGAAAGAAAAAGCGTTTTCATTTCTTGAACTGAACCGAAGTGCAATAGAATTCCTTGAAGCTGTAGTTTAGACATGCGATTTGGTTCAAGTTTAAAATCTGTTGTAAGCACATATCGTGCACCACCAAATATGATCAGTTATTATCCTGAGGAGAGTATTCGCGTAATATTTCAAGATTTCATTGACTCGATTCAGATTTTTGCAGTTTCCAATAATTTGCTCATATTACACTATGAATCTGAACGCGGCCATCATAATGAAAGAAGACTGAAAAAGTTTGCAGGACTATAAAACAGTGGAATTAATCAGCACAGTAGATTTGCATACGTCACCAGATAATGTTTATGTTGCTGACAATAACGATGTGTGGACTGGAGCACATCCGATTGCCAAGCAACTGTTCGCCCATAATAGTGCACCAGATGACTTGAAGTACTCATCTCCATCACAGGTCTGTTCCATTTCGTTTGTATCGAAACTCGGTTTCATCATATTGTTAATCATTATTTTAGGCATTCGTTTTCAAATGATTTCTTTGAAAGCTTTCTGACTGAACAAGAACTGTGAATGCTCCATGTATCATATTTCAACTCACTCTTTCGCCTTTAGAAGGCTTTCAAAGGAGGGCTTCATAAAACCTCATAATGTTTCCAAGCACATTGCATTATGAACTTCTGAAGTGTCTATCAAACAACACGCATCAGCCAGCTTGTGCCAATTCAAACGTCATTGTCACTGTTGATGAAACGTAATTCATAACAGTTATGTGGTCATTGTACTGCTTGAGAATTAAGTTTAGATTCATTCAAATCCTTTCAGTTTTTAGCAAAATTGCTTTTCGCTAGCAAGATCTGAGGTACATGATACGCCTCCCCCAAGGGCGACCTTCAATTGATAAGCTAGTTTGAAGTTTACAGATGATGTTTTATGTCATCGAATATAAGAGCGTTCATTAGGGTTCCTGGGATTTGAGTCCCGATCCCGGGATTCATGTTTTGAAAAATCCCGGGATCTCAGGGTTTGATAAAGCTGATCAAGTTGTATGAATTTTGATAGTATGCCCATCCTGAAGCAAGCCTTAATCATTCCCAGCTCATCCATATGCAGTCATCTTTGTTGTTTGCCACCTATCATTGATGAACGGTCAAGGAAATAGATACAAATCAGAAGAATGGCATGATGAATGACAGCTTGATGAACTTTTGCGTAATATTTCATTGAACATTCAACTGATTATTCTGCTCTTCATCAGTTTATGTCACACTTATCTGGATACATTTCTATGTAGCCTAACGAAAATAATCACCTTTTTAATGAGAACCAAAAGCAACAAAATTCAATAAAATTTTGAGTTCTTTCCTTCCACGCGATTTGTTCGGCTTCAATATTCCATCGGTTAATCAATTGCATGTTCCAAAAACTGCAAGCCTTTTTACTTTGCTATTTGGAATCACTTTCGTTCGATCGAAATGTACACAAATTCTCACTGAGATCACTCATAGTGAGAATTCATTGTTGATATGGGCGAAACTGTTCCATTCAAAAGGATCTTAAGCTTGGATATCAAGTACATTTTCATGATTTCTGAACGAAACTAGTAAATACGTAAGCGCTCGACGGTTCGATGAAAATCCATCGCGAATTTTTTTCGCTTTTTACAAAAACTCTGAACTTTCGGTTTTTTTAGAATTCAAATGATTTAATTTAAGCGACGTATATCTGTCGTGAAAAATCAAAATTTCCGAAATTCGGCTGATGCTAACATCGACAGAAAATGGACTTGAAACTTCGCAAATAAGTGTTCGAGTATCAAGAACCTCATATTTACATGCAAGTGAACTCTTATTAGCTTAGATCCGAGATGACAAGATGCCTGACAATGAGCATAGAAAATGTAGTGTGCTTTGCGGCATGATCACTGATATTAATTTGAATTTAAATAATTTGTTGAAGTAAGTCCTTTCTGATTGATTATGAACATACTGATTCAAAAAAATTTGTTTAAATGTATCACGCATCGATATTTCAAAAATTGTTCGGTCCCGGGATTGAAAAAACGCCGGGATTCTGTAAACCTTAGCCATTCATTCGGCAGATGTAGCGAAAATTTGAATTTTGTTTGCGTTGGAAAGTTTCGATTGAACCAAAACGATTCTAAAATAGAAACGAAAATGGCCTTTGAATATTTTGCTCGTAATATTTTTGAAAAGTGGTTAACTCGAGTAAAAAAAAAATCATCGAAGGTGTCAACCGAACTGACACATTTTACTTAAAAGTGAACGTCACACATTGCCTGCATATTACAGGTGTTGCGCATAGCATTCTCACGTGATTTCAAAACATGGACAATCAGTGAACCGTATATGAACGATGGCACAGAACTGGTGGCAAGCACCATTGCCGTACCCTATTATCAACAACTACTCATTGGTACAATCTACAGAACACTTCTTCACTGTGATATTATTCATTCGGCTGCTCTATGAATATTTCCACTTTGAATGTCTATAGACGTTTTATTGATTCATGTTTTTTCTTAGTTTTTTAAATACTCTGTCGTTGTTGTTTGATAATTAAAGTTTATATGAGTGTTGAATGTTTACCGACACATCGATTCAAAAACCTCAGCTCAACTAACACGAACGAAGCGCTGTTCGTTAGGCAATGTTTTTTTGGAGCATAACTGTACTGACGAGCGACGACGCCTCATTTAAAAAAATCAATGCAGTTCCTGCTCTAACTGCGCATTTGTGAAACTTTCACATTCATCTCCGCATTTTTCATATTTTGGCTCTAACTCCAGTCCCAAAATTTTCTCTGCCCTTCTTCGCCTCTGGGGTATCTTGGAGTAGTGGCCACCGATTTTCGGTAGCCCCCGACAGAGACGAAGAAGGGTATTCGGTCGGTGACCACAGGAAAAAATCTGTCGGTTCCCAACAATATCTTGGATCCAGTAAAAACTATCGCGCCAGTTCCAGCTATTGAATGCTGTGAGTTTTTTGAGGGAGCCAAAAAATTTTTTTAGCCCAAGACCGTAGGCATGCATCACTGCTCATGAATACGTTCCGTAGGTTTCAGATTTGCTGGCAGAAGAGTTATTCACTGAATCTCTGCAAGGTATACAAACCTCTAATATTGGTGTTAGTTGAGATATGAATCAGAAAGTGCGAAAGAATGAAAATGCAAGATGTAAATAAAAAAGCATTTAATGACTATAAACAACGAACACTACTGGAATGACTATCAGAGGCAAACTAATGATACGAATCATAAACCAACTACAACGTCCATCACCACTATTAATGACTTCTATCAACAAAAACAATCTTCCCATCAAATACCACCACACAGTTTCTCTTTCAGCGATGCAACAAATAACTCTTTTCTCGACAACAAATAACTCTCGACGAACTTTTTACCTTTTCTATTGCTCGGCCGAAACAAAGATCATCAATACCAATCTGTTATGTTTCAACTCCGTCGACAAATAAACAGCCTCCCATAATCACGTATTTAAGTTCTATTGGATCCTCGAAATTTCACCAGCAATCATTACTGTTCTCAACAACAAATTCTTTTACAACTAACTTTTATTCTCGTTTACAATAAACAAACACAAACACAAAACCGTATTTCAACAGTGCAAGCACCTTAGATTAGAACGTTTGAATGGAAGAGTGAAAATAAATCGCACGAAACGCTGCAAACTGCGAGAATTTGTTGACACGAACAATGCAGTAAACACTATGATCTAATTAAGAGTACGTCGTCTATTAAAGTGATCTCTTCTGGCCAGAATATCGATGCTATCTCCTTCATGCACACGACGAATGTGTAGCAGTAAACCTTCATGATTATCGAATTGCTCTGTGCACAATTTGCACACTTCATTTGCCATGTGTTTCGTTCTGAAACATCACTAGCATTTCATTTCAATTGCACGACGACCGCTAAAACAAAGAAGCTAGGGTTGAATTTTTCGAATAAATTTATCGTCAATATTGTTGCACGTTTCGAGGTGAACGTGAAAAAGAATTCGATCAAATGAGTGGATCAATTATAAAAATTTTGAAGATGACTGTGGCATTGTTAATTTTATGCAATGCGCCTGGTTAGACAATAAATTTGATCGTTATTACTAGTTGTCATCAACCTATCGATGAACAGATAAAGAACTTTGTAATTTTCATCAACGTAAATTAAAAACCCACGTAATCGATGGTAAATATTGATTGGTAAGTGCATTCAATGTTGTATTCCCGACTGGATTGGTGTTTAGTTCGGTGAATGAAAGTAACTGAAACAAGTAACTCGAAAATACAAAATCTTGCTCATTGCATTTATTCCACTTGAAGCTCTATGAGCCATTATCAAATTTCAGCATTTTATCGAAAGTTTTTCATGCACAATTTTGTAGACAATGTAATATTTTGATCGCACTGAAGTGAATAACCGTTATGAACCTCAGCAGTTTCGTGATCCTCACCAGCGAAATGTGCCTCACTTTCCTCAGCACTCATGAAGTACTGTGAACAAACGTGACAGCTAGTTGTAAATGCTGCACGTTCAAAGGCTACTTCAGTAGTCATTAAAGCACCGAACACAGCAACCGGAAAATTGGTGACTTCCGTTGAAACGTTCATTGGTACCATTAGAGTGCCACTCTAAAAAAAACTTATTCACACACTCATATCATCAACACGTTGGTTATTAACCACAACATTCACTCGTTTATTTAGCGTTCTCGAAGACGTTCATCTCTCAAGAAACAGAAATCTACTAGAAATGATAAAGAATAAAGATATGAAAGTATATTTTAGTTTGAGTTGAATATTTTAGATGACGAAAATGAGACGTAAACATTTCATCGAGAGCATCAAACAATTGCATAAATTCAGTGCAAATATACTCATCAGTGAGAAAGCGTTGTCACCATGAATTTTGATAAGATTCTTAGAAACATTTTCAACTTTCGATCCAATCGTATCTTTAATTTTCATAGATGGGCAAATTACGAGAAACATTCAAATCATAAAGCATTCAAAATATTTACTTACCTCTGTTTTAGAAAGCATCATAAGAATACGATGCGCATCAACAGCCATAAACGAGCCAGATGTGAGGAATGGCAGCGATATAGGTATCTTCAAAGAAATACCTTCAGAAGAAAGCGGTTTCAGCATCGATAATTCGATAACAACCGAACCATCCTCTGGCGGTATCCCGCTGAAAGAGATCATAAATCAAATGCTATTGAGACCATTCTATTGAATTATACCTCACTCAAAATGAGACATTACAAAAGCAAAACGACGAAGTTTACCGATAGTTTCATAGCAAGCGACTCACTACTGCTTATTAATTGATGGAACTGTTGAAAACTATGGCGGATGATGAATAAATGTTCAAATTACTTATTCTCTAACAAAAACCTCACTTGTTTGCGCAGCGAACTCAACAAACCAAAAACTCAGGCTTCTAGCTCATCATTAATATTCTTTTTAATATTGTATGACAATCGTCCAAAAAATCTTACTTGAACAAAGATACGCTGACTTTCAGATTGAGCTATTTTCGCTCAGCAACAACAACAATGAGAACTGTTAGTTTTCATCAAATGCAATCTAAATACCTGACGACGTTGATGTGTACCAACACATTTCCCGAACGAGTATGTGGTGATAAACGTATCGCGATATTCGTCGATGCGTTCCACTCGTTCTGAATTAATATTAAAGTACTTCTTATGAATCAAACGAATAACAATCACATGAACATTCTTATATAGTCGAACCGATCACAACATGCAATCCTAAACTTTATTTTTACATCTAACAGAAAACAAAGCTTTGATCTATTTGCAATATTCAGCACAAATGATCTTGCAGCACTCTTGTGATCCATTTAATTCAATTTGTGACCGAGTATTTTATACGTACAACTGACCCGGAAGGAATTTTAACAGGTTAGTCAGAAATGTGCTGAACAATAAACAATATCATAAATGTGACTGATAAAAATAACGATCTATAGATTGAAGGGAAAAAATGAAATAAAATGAATGAACCTGATTGATGGGACGCGAGAAAGCAGAAGTGAATGAAGGCTCAATAGTTGTGAGATTTTTTGAGGATGGCGCTAACTGCTGAGCCGTTTGAATGAACTGATCGCGAGAATCATAAACTAAATCTGACGATGCATCAGTTTTGTGAGCAATACAAGCTGCATTATCGATATTGGTCGACTCGTTTCCATGGAATCGTTGCACATGAGCATCACGATGACGAACTGATCTTAAATCAAGATCTTCTTATGACGTGTTCTGTTTGAAATGAAAGTTTGCTAGAATGTGTTTTTTAAGTGAATGAGAAATCAGGAAGGGAAACGATAAACGAAAATGCGAGCAGTTAGATGTGATGATACTGATGTAAATATTAATACTGAAACGAATACAAGAAATTGTCAAAAATTTGATAGAATGTCTAACTGAAAATGTTGATCACAGGTGTCCACTGTGCACTTGAACGGCCTATGTTGAGCGTGTGCAAATAAAAGGTGTTGTTTGAGAGCAGATTTTGAGCAGTAACATTTACCACATACTGCACATACTTCAAATATACTGTCGTTTTGATCATCATGTACCTTCATATGCTGATACAACGTCGATTTGACACGGAAAGCTCGATCACATACACCACAAACAAACGGCTTTTCACCTGAATTCAAACATCTTACTTTCAATGATACTTATTTTGCCTAACAGAACGCCACTATCACTGAACAATCACCGAATGTTAAATCAAACTTTTGCGAAAAAACAATTCGTATGAACCATCACTATGATATGTACCACACAGTGCATAAATATGCAATGCATATGAAAGCTTCTTGAAAGAGCAAAGCTTGAATTGTAACAGAATCTCTTCGAAAAAAATATAAATGGAAAGAAATAAAAGAGAACGGAAGAAATAAATGCAAACCTGTATGAATCCGTGTATGCCGTTGAAGATCCGACGGTTTCTTGAAGGCTCTTCCGCAAACACCACACTTGTGTTTCTTAATGTGAAATTCGATAAAATGAATAAAATCGTGTTGCATGTCGATAAATTATTCTAATTATTCAAAGAATTTTAACGTTGGATTATGCGAACAACCGCCACACTGATACATCAGCGACTTCAAAATGTGTTCGGAAAAAACAACTCTTTACTGAGGGTGAAAACGTATTTGTATTAATCGCATGTCTACGACTGACTACACAGTAAAAAGTATTACTCAAAGATAAACACTCACTAAACTAGGGTTGGAACGGTGAGGGGAGGGGAATTTTTTTCGATATTCATCCGACAAAAAATTTCCTCCTTGCTTCGTTTCAAACCTTAACTTAACATTTACAATACACGAAAGCAAACAACTGACAGTAAAAATGATCAAATGCAAAAACTAGCAATTTCAATCATTTAGTTAATATGCTTATCAGTTTTCGTCCACCGCAATAATTAGTCACGTAACTACGATTGATTAGACTAGACTAAAGACTATAGACGAAAAAAACTATAGACTTGGAAACGTTTTTTGGATAGCAGTCTAGCGAATTACCTTTTCATCGCTCACTGCAGTGACATTAACAGCTGGCGGCTTAACAGTTTCAGCTGCTTGAACATGCTCCAACTGCAAATCCTTCAAAACTTTCAGTTCAAATGAAATATATATATAGCGCTAGATGTAAACAAATACAGATAATATCAACAGATACATAAGAAGAGAATCTACCTAGGAAATTCTTCGAAACTAGGATAAAATGATACCAAAGTGAACACATTTTAGGCGGATACCAGCTCAGTCCCATAAAGAATTACACTGAATTTCACGACTAGATACGTTTTCAGCATAATTAATATACTTTTCGATGAACCTACAATTTGAGCGACTCAGTCTGAAAGGTATTCGTCTACGTACCTTTAATAGGTTACTAGAGAGTGATATTTTGGTAACAAAATGTGATGATAATAATAAACCTTCATATGAACTGTTCTGAGGTGTTCACTGAGTTGAGTTGATCCAGTGAAACTTTTCTCGCAAATGGAACAAATTAGAACAGCAAATTCATGTGCTGGATCTATGTTCATATTAGCCAGATGTGAACATAATGCTGTCTCTAAAAAAATTCATCGATTATTACACCAATGTGGCTAAATCACAAATTTTCACTATTCGATGATACCATTCAATGAACATGAACTGCAAAACTATGATACCAAACTGAGACGGTACGAATTCAGAGAATGAAACTGAATAACATAGAGTGAAATTTAATGAAAACTGTTTAGCGAATATCAAAAATGGCAAGTGAAACTTGACCTGAATGAAACGTGAAAAGACACACAGGACAACGCGGTTCGTTTATGACTGCAGATGAAGATGGTTGCTCGACCAGCGATGGGTATGCATTTGCAATCATGCCAAATTCGTCGAATACACATTCCTGCAACTACTGAATTTTGATTGTGTGCCTGCCTTCATACAAAGGCAATTCTTTTCAGTACAAACTAACGTTGCCCAGTTGTGACTGATGATGACCTTTCTGCATAACGTCAGTCGTTTGTAAATCAGCATCGCCGAATAACTGAACCGCTAAATCATTACCATCACTGATAAGCTGCTGCGCTTCGTTTTCAATTTCATTCATCTCACTTACTTCACTATTTTCTTGTGGGACGCACAACTTAAATGCAACTCATTATTTGATAACTGAAAAATGTTCACACACATTCATTCAGATTATGGATGTTTCAATACGGATAAATTGTTGAATGTATTCATTTTGTCTCAAAGATGCACAAAGAGCAAAAAACAAAACTATTAACCGTTTCGCAAACTTCCGTATGCATTTCACGCATATGATCATTGACTTGAGCCCTTGTTCCGAATGAACGGTCACAAATAATGCACTTTAATTGTGTGAAATTATTTGAGTGAACGCTACTATGTGATTTCAACAGAGCTGAAACAATAAGCAATCAATATGTTCAATAATCAATCAAAAATTTGAAATGATTCTCTTTGACGAAGAACATTAAATTTCGCCAGTATACAGCGATTAAATCAATTTCAAGAAAGTTCCAAAAAAAAACAACAAATAAATGGATGAATGAAGGTTTATTACCGAGAGAAAAGAATGATTTGTGGCATAAACGACAGACATGTGGTTTAAAACCAGTATGACGATTGGTATGCTCTTTGAGTGAACGCAAAGTGGTGAATAAAGCAGAACATATTCGGCATTGAAATGATGCTTGTTGATTAGTAATCGATGGTATCATTACACCTTCACAGTTGCTACTTGGTTTCATTGTACAGGATGACATGTGCTTTTCAAGTGTTTCTTTGGTTGCGAATGACTAGAATCAATCCATATTCATTAATGACAATGAAGTAATCCTCAAATGTATATATTCAACTTTGTTACATAGCCAGATAATGCGACGTTCTCATTGCTATAAGTAGTGTTTCAAAGAAAAGCTGCGGCAATCACAAATCACCTGTGAACACGTTGCACAACGCTCTGACGAACGCGCATGCAGTTTGATATGTCTGCGCAGTGATGTCGTAGACGATAACTGAAACTCAGCGTAATCGATGACTCTTGTTCATAATTTGACGGAATAATGAGACCATTAAATCGTCAAAGCATTCACACGAAAACAAAAGCCAAAAAAAAAACGAATATAAGTGAAAGTTTTTAAGGAAGAACTTCATTTCTTTGCATGAAAAGCTTAATTTCATTAAATTGATACTTATATTAACCTGTTTCATGCATAAATGACATCTAGAGCATTCGTTGTAATTATATGCATTCTCTTCACGAATGTGCTTTTCCGAGTGCAACTTCAGTGACGATTTCCATGCAAAGTTTTTATGACAACGATTGCATGAAAACGGTCGATTACCGCTATGAACGCGATAATGTCGCAACAAATCCGAACATTTACCGAATGCTTTCCCACAAATTGAACAACAAACCAATCTACGTCGATTGCGTATATTCTGAAAGTCGTCAAAGATTGGAGAGAATTCTACATTAATAAAGGTATTTATGGAGGAAGTCAACTCACATAATAGAACATAGTTGAATAACTAAGTCTTTAAAACGATCTGTAAAATAATGAAAAAAACAGATGCAAACGCAATCAAAATAGTGGTCGAACAAGCAAAAACAATACACAGTAATATCACTAATGCTACTCTTGGTATTATTATTATTATATTGTGAGTTTGATACGATTCATTTTTGGAACATGCTTCAGCGTTTCAATCAGAAAAGGGAGACCAAAACAGTAAGGGTCAATATTGATTAGACATTACTTAATAAAGACAGTATTCAACGAGACGGAATATGTGAAACAGAAACGACGAACTTGTTGTGATTCAGAAGTGACCGCCTCTTGCTGCTTCAAATTCTCAACGACCACTGGAAATGACTCGTTTTTGGACTTTGCTCATTTGAAACGAAAATTAAAAAAAATTCGATATTCGAGTGAAGAAAAGTTTAGAGCACAGATAAGATTCAATGAAAGTTTAAAAACTTGTGAAGTGAGAACAACAAATTAATTTCGACGTTATCATTAAAACTCACGAGACTGCGATGCGCTCGAATCATACTGATGTCGTTTACGCATGTGAACTTGCAGTGGTTGTACTGAATTAAAGACGCACGTACAATGCGGACATCTGAATACGGTTCGCGACGCTACATCAGTCGGATGTAATAAGGTGACATGTCGACGGAGATTGCCTGCCTATTTCAGAACAATTTTACAGCTATTCAGTCGAGAGCTTACAGAAAAAGAACAACATAATATTTTAATCGCTAATTAAAACTTCACTTTATGAAGGAGAGAGTTTTTCAATAGAATAAACGATGCATTCAGATATATGAATCTAGTCTACAATCAAATTGATTTTAATAAACAAAATGAATTATGAACGAAACGAATGTATCGAATTCGGCAGAATTTACCTGCGAAAAGGATGCTCCACATAAGGTGCACTTGTGACGTAATGCTTCCTCTTCATTATGCATTTGCACGTGTTGACTCAATGACGATCGCTGTGAAAACTTTTTGCCACATTTTTCACAATTGAAACGTCTTTCTTCTGAATTATCATAACAGATTAAAATTTGGTTTAGTCTAATCTATTCATCATATATCTTTAATAGAGCTACACAAGTGCAGAAACTTCATTCGAAACTATAAGTAACTCACACGAGTATGACATAAAAACTTACTTGTATGTACTACGAGATGCCTTGAAAGTTCAAATTTCTTGCCAAAACTTTTACAACAAACATGACATTTATGTGGCTTTTCGATGAGATCACTTGTTTTGTTCCTCTTCGCATGTTTCAACGATTTGCTGAACGAAGTGAAGATGTTCAACTGACCACACAAACATTATAAACAAACTCTCTTGCAGTCAACAACACAACGGTATGCTTTCGAATATAATCACCAAAAATCACAGAATAAGAAATGGGATAACGTGATTATGAGTGAATTATGTGTTTCTTAAAAATCATACCGAAACGATGCATTAGGTTTGGCAGAAAGTTCTGAGCCATCTACGTTGGCGAATTGATATAATGGAACATTGTGTTTCATTGTAGAGTTCTTGTATCTAGTGCTATATGTCGTTTTGTAGCCCATTTTCTGCGTTGTCTGAATATACCCATACTTTGGTCTTCACTTTTTTGATTTGGAGAGTTTCGGAATATTGAATCCAAGCTATGGATAAGAAAATAAGTCGCAGAATTATGTCTTATGAATTCAAATTTGGTCGTTCGAGCAGGCAGGCGACGGCTAATATTAACGAAGTATTTGGGGAGGGGACCACTCCCAAATCCACAGTTGGCGATTGGTTCAAGAAGTACACTCATACACTTGAGGTGGCAAGGGATCAGTTGTTGAGAATAAGGCGAGCAATGATGAACGGATGTGGTCCGATCCTTTTACAGGATAACGCCAGACCGCAAGTTGCAACGAAGACGTTAAAAAAATCACGAATTAGGTTTTGAAATTCTACCTCACCCGCCTTACTCTCTGGACCTCTTCCCAACAGAATATCATCTTTTCAAAAACATGGAACTTTTCCTGCGTGGGAGGAACTTCCCAAATGAGACGGCACTCAAAGCTGACGTCCGTCGATTTTTTGATTCCAGAGACCCTGGTTTCTATGCTATGGGGATAACAGTCCTGGTTTCGCGTTAGGAATGTTGTGTGGAGGCGAATATTTTTTATTTTGAATAAAAATGTCGATTTTGAAAAAAGTTAGGAAAGTTTTAAATTTTGGATCTAAGTGGCTACGAACTTTCTGCCATACCTAATACATTTTGTATCCAAAAAAAAAACAAAATTTGCTTTCTTATAAGTTTAGTCTTCAAACAAAAAGAGATGCACTAAAATAAAAATGGATGAGCAAAAAGAATAAATCTAACTTGATTTTACGGTGAAACTGCATATGTTCATCGAGTGCTTCCTTATCGGCCACGATCACTGAACATTGGCTACAAATGTGGACTGTGGGCAAGTTATCCGCTTGTGACAATGCATGTTGCGTTCGAATATGATAACTCAGTAACGGCTGTCAATTGATTAAGAATTAATTTCTGAGAACGTTTTGCGAATCACCAATCAGTCGACTCGATGATGCGTTATCAACCAATTTTCCGTTTAATTTGAATTGAATTCAGTTTTAATCAAATCAATGCAATGTGATAAAGATTATTCACTGTCAGAATAATTTTTGACAACAAAGCAGGCAGAGGTTTGCTTCTAAAAGCAATGAAACCTTACTTGATATTCAAATTCGTGATTGCAAACGGAACAAGAAATAGCATCATTAATCATATGAATATTCAGATGCCCATAAAATGCTGCGCTTCTCGAGTAAGCTTTTGAGCAAAGTATACAAACGAATTTGCCATTTTCATTAACTTGAGCATCAGTATGCATTTTGAGATTATGCACTCGAAGATTGTGTTCTCTGTTGAATTGCTCATTGCATATCATACATCTGCAATTCTATAATTATCACATATTTGGCAGTAACCTAGAATTCAATGAATACATTTCTAATATCAATGCAATAATCAAGGTGTATCTGATGAATACTCAATTTGGAATATTCCATGAGATGAAACAGGTGGTACTGAATTCATGAAAACAACAAGAAAAGATGAGAATAAAATGATTTCGCTTACTTGAATTCCTTCTCAAGTTTGCACGACTTCGAATGATTAGAGAAATCTACAGCTGATATTAGATTGTCACATTTATTGCATCGCACATAAGTGTTAATCTGAAATATCAATATTAAGTGCACGCTCATTAGAGAATAAAAAATATTTAACACGAAATACATGTAACCTCTGCAATGATTTAGCATCTACAGAACATGCATCCATTTGGCAAATAATGAGAGAACTGCGAGCGAACGAGCAAAGAAATCGAAGAAATAAAACTGTTATTTTGACCACAAAGGATAAAAATCGAGAGAAATTTATATTTCAATCCAGTCTGATGATGAAAACGAGTGATCTAACCGGGCCTGATGATGACGTAGAAGGATCATTAACTGATTCAATTCCACTTTCTGTTAAATCGCATTCTGATAGCCAATTACCTACCGATGAATTGGTAATCACTGCAATATTTATAGATTACGCCAAGTATTCTTACTAATTCACGATTGCAAATAGGATCCGAAAGCGAGATTCGAATTCAGGCAGGCTATCTTTCTCAATAATCCATATGGAGTCAACTTAAATGCAAAACAAATATCCGAAAATGATGGCCGCCGTTGCGATTTAAACAAGAAAAAGAGTTTACATTTCAAATACTTTGATGATTTATTTGAATCAGAAACAATTAGAAAATGCTCTCATCTGGCTGATGGTTTGAAAAGACAAAATAAAATTTAAAACTGAATGAATCGAACATAACCATTATCGTATGATGAGCTGTCCGGAATTTGACTAGAATTATAATTTGCATCTTGAAAATACTCCAGAGTAAACGATGGATTTAAGTTATCGTTATCACCGTCAAGTTGATGCGAATCCAGTTCACTATCATTATCCTCTCCAATGACAACATAACGAATCGGTGCTTCATCATCCACGCTAACCATCTCAAGAAGCAACCTCAAGATACTGCATCAATATTTCATCTACCATCAAATTTCAGCACTTTTTTACTCCTCTGCCTTGTTTGTATCGCAGTTGGAATCCCGAGTGAGCGACAAATGCATCTACGACAAGTCTAACTCCGACAAATATCACCATGCTACTCAATGATGAGGCACGTGCAAATTATCGGAGTGGCGCATTGTCGTGGATCAAATTGTCGTAGGCCCGGAACTGCAACGGAAATACCGTTTAGAAAACGACTCGCCACAAGAGGACACCGCCACAACACATATAATGTTGCAAAGTTAATCTAAACGAGAGCGAATGCAGCGATAGTTTGTTTGATATGTGTTCAGCGATGTGACTTTCTTACGCATTCAGCAGGAACATGACATATAACAGTTCGTAGCGCAGAATGAGGTGTGATCGAAAGATTTGCCAGCAATCAAGATATGTTCGAAATTTTCGATTTCGCTTTGTGTGCAAAAATCCAACAAATAATTTGAATTGCTACCCACCCGATAGGGAAAATTTATGATCATGATATACACCATGTTGTAGCCGAGATTGATTACTACACAAGAGCGCTTTAAATATTGAAGTTAATTGGTAAATTAGGGAAGTTATGCCGCTTGGCGTGATCAGTGGTCACAATTGACATATATACTGAAAAATTGAAATTCTCTCCGTTATATATATATATATATATATATATATATATATATATATATATATATATATATATATA